ACCCATTGCACCATTTTTTACACCAAAAAAGAATATTCTCGGAATATTCTCAGTTTGTGCCCTTTTATCTATTTTTATATTAATTAATAGGTAAAAAATAAATATTTAAATTTTTTTAAAACAATGCATAGTAATAGCGCGGATGAACAGTGCGACGCCATATTTGACGCCGCACTGTTCATCTCCTCCAAAGTGCCGCAAAAAATACGGCATGGTTGGAGCTCGAACAGTTCAACGCAGCAGCATTTTGCCGCTGCGTTGGAGATGCCCTTATAGTTAAAAGAAGCAATTAATAAATGCATTGTGCATCATATCACAACCAACAACATGTGAATGGTCAGTCAAAGCTATTGGGGCTCAGAACGATTGTTCGCATGTTGTCAGTTCTGATACAACAGGTTATATTTGTCTATTATTCCTAATATTATAACCCATGGATTTTTGCATAAATGCCCTTCAAAATTATCATATTTGCAAACTTACCCCTCAAATTAAAATCTATCACAATGGATTTTTCTATCCCTCTCTCTTTACAACTTTGATTTTAAAAACTAAAATTATTAAGTGAAGGGAAAAAAAAGTTTAATGTGAGAGAATTGAGGGGTAATTTTAGAAATACCAATATTTGGGGTTTGATTTTGCAAGTATAGAATATTTGAGGGGTATATATACAAAAACCTCTACTTATACATCTAAAAGCTTTTCTTATTTACTAGTATAATGCACGTGCTTTGCGTGTGAACGTAAATGTTTTAAGTTTTAAAATTTTTATTAAATAGTAAAAGTATGTGTTAATAAATAAAATTGTATAATAAAATTGCTTAAAAAGAAATGTATGAATTAATTATTATTGTGTAGTTATTGTAATTGAATGTTTTTCTTATAATGATTGCCCAATGCTAACCTTTTTTAAATAAGTCCACCAAATCTACAATTATTCTTAAATAAGTCTACCAAATCTATAAGTTCTCTTAAATATGCCCCTCTAACTTGAAAGGTTAACTTAATTTTAAATTAACTAAGCTACATTGTTCTTGCTAGATTTTTCATGATGTTCCCTAAAGAGTTACACTTAATAACAGTGGCATATTGCAGTAGTTACTTCTCATTATAATTATTTAATAGGGTACATTACACCAAACCCTTATGATGTTTCTGCCCCTATGATCTTTCAGTGTCACACTAAAGTCCTAATAATTTTTCTGTTTCAAAGAAAACCCCTAGTATTTTTTTAAATTTTGTATATAATCCCTATAAATTACATCTTAAAAATACCATAAAAAGGCATTTTGAAAGTTATTGGGGGTTTAGCATAATTTATCTAAAAGATATTGGGGATCTTTTGTAAAAGTTATTATGGGATTTTAAAAGTTCATAGAGTCTATTTATTGTAAAATGCTTGAAAGTTCATAGGGGTTTACTATAATGTACCTTATTTAATATTATAATTCTTAGTTCAAGCAATACTATTTAAAACAAGTATACTATCTATATACTAAAAAATATTTATCTAATTTATTTTTTTTAATTAAGCTCTTAAATAATTTAGTACTATAAATACTTTATAAACTTTTATTATACTATCATTAACAATTAATATTATTATTATTAATATTGAATAATTTTTTGTCAATACGTTAGTTTTTTATCATTACTAAGTATAGATTATTCAGTATCATGTAATAATTTTTGAGAAAATATTCTAAAATAATACTAAATTATTTATTTTACTTATTTAATAATATAATACTAAATAAAAAGAGTAATTCTTAATTTATGTGATATTATTAAAATAATTACACTATATATGATATTAAATATTTATTCTATTTCTTTTATTGCTCATTGAATTATAGTATACTTCTTAATAGTATTTAGTCATATATATTAATTTATGTATACTATTATTTTAATTATTTTATTGTAATTCATAAATAATTATGATAATAATAATTTAATTGGTTACTATTAACCATTATGTATACTTATTTTATAATTTATTATATTATATTATTATTAAAAAACTATTAGTTATAATATTATTGATAATTATAAGTATTTAGGAAGGTGAGGAGCCACATAATTGATAAGTGGTTATATTTATTTAATAAAAAATATATTAAAGATAATGGCATACTTGGAATTTATCAAAATTTAAGAGGTCTATCATTAACAATTAATTAATAGTATTATTATTAATATTGAATATTTTTTTGTAAATATGTTAGTTTTTAATCATTACTAAGTATAGATTATTCAGTATCTTTGAGAAAATTTTCTAAAAATAATATTAAATTATTTATTTAATTTATTTAATAATATAATGATAAATAAATAGAGTAATTCATGATTTATGTGATATTATTAAAATAATTACACTATTTATGATATTAAATATTTATTCTATTTATTTTATTGCTCATTGAATTATAGTATACTTCTTAATAGTATTTAGTCATATATGTTAATTTATGTATACTATTATTTTAATTTTTTTATTATAATTCATAAATAATTATAATAATAATAATTTAATTGGTTACTATTAACCATTGTGTATACTTATTTTATAATAAATTATTACATTATATTATTATTAAACAACTAATAGTTATAATATTATTGATAATTATAATTATTTAGGAAGGTGAGGAGGCACTTAATTGATAAGTGGTTATATTTATTTAATAAAAAATTTATTAAAGATAATGACATATATACTTGGAATTTATCAAAATTTAAGAGGACAAAAGAGGAAATTAAAAGTTTTAACACTCTAATCCTCTTTTTATAGTAGTAAGTATAGATATAGATATAGATATAGATAGATATAGATTTAATTATTTCTTAAATCCACCCATTTTCGAAAAGGGTTTTACCCTATAAACCCAATATTTAAGTTCTATTTATTTTAAAGCTCACATCTAAAATCACACTTAGGCTTAAACAACTACAAAAAAAATATTTTAAAACTCACTTTATGCTCCAGTAGTTTGACATGTTGTTGAAGTTGTTATATTTCACTTTAACTTGCTGTACTTCTTTTCTAGGTGATTATATATGATGTGTTAAACAAAATGCTTAAAAGCATTATGTTTAGGATTTTTTACACTGTGGCAACACCATAAAACTACAGATAGATTTTTTTCCCATAAGCCCTAAGTTTTACCATCATTTATTTTTAAATACATCTACTCCTAAAAAGGATTTTTTTCCCCCTATAAACTCAAAGTTTTACTTACTTGGGCCCAAAATACTCTACCAAATTATCTCTAAACTCACTTCGAATTCTAGCGGTTTCCTATGCATGTAAGTTGTTATATCTTGCTTTAACCTGTGATTTTTTGTCATATAGGTGACTTGTGTACACGATGTATTTTTAAAAAAATTTATTATTATTATGTTCTTTTTATATTTTTCACGTTAAATCGCGTACGAATTCAAATTGCACTCCTATTTACTTTCAAATTCACCCACTTCCTAAAATAATCTTCTGCCTATATGCCTAAAGTCTTACCTTCATTTATTTTTAGAGTCATCATACATCCAACTTCACTCTGAGACCCAAATACTCATTCAAACTAATATTAACCCTATTTTATATTTTAGTAGTTTGGTATGCTCTGTGAATTTATATATTTTGTTATAACTTTGTATATTTTTGTTCTATATAATTTGGCGTATATTGTATTTTTGAGTCAAATGCTTAGACTATTTTTAAGGTTTTATTACAGTAACCATATAGATATTAACTTTTAGCCTGCAGACCTACATATTATTTATTTATTCACTTGCATGTAAACCTAAATTTATGCTTGTTTATTTTTAAACACACCCACTTCCAACATCACTATTACACATGAAAAATACTATGTTGAAATTTTTTATATCTATTTTGAATTTCAACAGCTCTACATATAGATAAATCATTATGTTTTTCTATTGATCGCTACATTTTTGTTTCAAGTGGTAAAATACGGTGTATTTTAAATCAAATGTTTAAACTATTTTTTGTTGTTTCCCAGTAATACCGCGGCATCACATGGATCAATTTTGCTCGTTAGTATCTGAATATACCTTAGAGTTTCCTTTAATTTGCATTTTTTTTATACCGTCGTTGCTTTTAGCAGCACTCACATGGTCTGGAGTTTTTAGATTTGCTATATTAGTACCCTGGGCTTTGCTATCATGAAAATCTTTCTATGTGTGTTGAATTAAATACATTGGTTTTTCATCATTTTTATGTGTGAATCAAAGCGAAACAATCTATTTCTTGAAAAAGTTTGGAAAACTCAAAACTTGTATTTTTGTACATGAAAATACATTTCTTTATATCTAAGAAACGAACCAAACAGACCCTAAAATACAATGGTAATAAGTTTAAAGCAGAAATGGAGCAGGTATAACAATAAAGTTAACAATAAGTAACAATAAACAAAAAAGTTTAAATTTAGCGTGTAATCGTCACACAGAAGTTTTCGAGAAATATTCTCATGGGCCCACTAGGCTAAAAAACTTAAACCTAAACTTGTACTAATTGTCTGGTTACAGAGAGTCAATGAACAGCCTTTTGAGCATTTCAAGGGGCAAAAAAGGGATTCCGCAAATAGAAAAAGCTAAAATATCTTGGATTATCTCTACTTTACACATCAGACACTCGTACGAGCACGAGAGCAGCCCCGAACACGCAACAAGAAGGTAGCACTTCCGACAGTCGTCTTTGCTCTCCACGTGTACTTTTACACTCTCACGAGCTGCTCAAACTTGCTCCAGAACTCGAACACGAATCCTAAAGCTCCGCCTGTCAACGATTTGCAAGCTCCTCGTGTTCGGAAGGCGTCCGACCTAAAATCTATGCCGAAAATCTCCTTCCTCCATCCCCTCCTCCACGTCAAAACCAAGCAAGAAAGTGATGGCATTACCGTAGTTAATAGCAAAAGTGAACCTATTAACAAAAAAACCAAGAGAGGGAGCGATTTTTGTATTGGAGATAGCGGCTAGGGTTTCGCTCTCATCTAAAAACTTCATCCATTTCTTTTAGCTTTGACGCTTCTAAAACCCTAGCCCTAGATTTTTGCTCTCTCCTCTTACTATTTAATGGCGATTTATTCCAGTAATCGCTCTTGCTAGTATTGGCTGTTTTGGTCTGAGATTCATCCGGACTCGAGCCTCGATCGGTGATCAGCGATGGCGACGGTGAACCCGTTCGATCTCCTCGTGGATGACGATAACGACGATCCGACGCAGATGATCGCTGCTCACAAGCAGAAGGTCGATTCGAGGAAGCCAGCTCCGGCGACGAAGGGCGCTGCTCCGGCGACGGCGAAGATGCCGTCGAAGCCTCTGCCGCCGTCACAAGCTGGTGAGTTCGTCATAGTCACCTGGTGCTTTTTGAATATCCTGTTTGATGATTGGTGAGGTTTTAGTACTTGCTGGTTAAGGAAATGTTTTAAAATGATTCTAAGTAGTTAAACATTCAGCAATCGTTATTTTTGTTATGTTGCTACCGAATGAGGAGGTACTTTGTCTAACTGAGGTATAAGAAGATTGAAGGTCAAAATTTGATACTTCTTAGCTGTTTTGAGCTTGCAAAGTGAAATTCTTGAAAGGAAATGTCGTAAGAATATAAAAAAAATAGTTTGTGGAATAGAATTGTTTGAGTTATGTCATACTTTCTGATATATCGGGGGAAATTTCAAAACGGTATTACGTAGTTTTAGATTCGTACGTTGACAGTCCTTCCGCTTTATCAAGTTTGTATAAAATAACCGTAACTTTGAGTAAACTGGCCTTTTGATAGTGAGGGAAGCTAAGGGAAACCCTGGAGCACCACGTGGTGGTGGTCCGGGCCGTGGAAGGGGTGGTCGTGGTGGTTCTGGGCAAGGTCGTTATCTTGGGAATGGAAATGCCAATGACTTTGCAGGAGGTTATCGTTTTGGTGAAGATGGAGATAGCCGTAGGCCTTTTGACAGGGAGCGTGGATCCTACAACGGACCCTCAGACAGGGAGCGTGGAAGCTACGATGGACCACGTCAACCTTTCCGAGGTGGGCGCCATGGTGGGTATAGTAATGATGAGGCTGGAGGGGATTCGGAACGGCCTCGGAGAACCTATGAGCGGCGGAGTGGTACAGGTCGTGGATATGAGATGAAACGGGATGGGGCAGGGCGTGGGAATTGGGGAAATGCTACTGATGATGCTCTCACACAGTTAAGATTAGATTATTTAGTCGTTTGCAAAGTGATTGGTTTTGTTATTATGAGTCTGTAGTTTCTGAATGTGCCTGACTATGTAGGGAGACTGAGGATAATGTGAATGCTGATGGGAAGATTGCAAATCCTGAGAAACAGCCGGAGCAGGAACATGCACCATTAACAGAGGCAGGCAAGGAAAACAAGGAAGGAGGAGCGACAGAGGCTGAAGAGAAAGAGGAGGAAAAGGTAATGTCTCTTTAACTGATAGTCATATATTAAATAATATATTGATTCTTTCTATCATGTCCATTAACATTTTTTGTGTGAGTGGAACCTTACTATTAACAACTAGTGACCTCTATGGTCAGATCCAAGTATTGTGTATTATTAGCTATGTAGGCTGCTCAAAATTTTAATTATGATTAGACTGGCGTCTTTATTATGGTGTACTGCATTTCTGTCAGCTGTAGGCTTATAACGGCAGATTCCATATTCCATAAGGACTCAGATAATATTTATGTGTCTTCACCTTTAAACAGCTCAAATATATATTCACGAGTCATAAATTAGAACTATAAGTTACATGAATGCGGTAGAGAAATATAGGATTGTCTTTAAGATGGAAGTACCTCCACGGTAAATGCTACACTATCATGAAGATCATAATTAAAGAGGTTTTTTATACATAACTATTGATTTTTCATACATAGCTATGAACATCTCCAAAAACTTGTTGTCATCATTAAATCCAATGTTTTAGAAAGCACTAGGTGTATCAAGGTGCCAACATAGCGCCTAGTGCCGAGGCACTATGTGCCTAGGCGAGCATAGTATGCAGGCATTTTTTAGCACCAAGAAAGGAACTTTTTCAAAGATTCAAGACTCTAGCCTCACCGTTTCATCAAAGATCAACTTGGATCAAGTTCTGATCTAATCAGTTTTAACCAACTCGTTCTCTTTAAACCAGTATGCTTAAATGGGCAATAAATTCCTTTTCAACAAGGTGACTATCAGCTTCCCATTTTCACCTTGGCACTCTTAAGAATTAAGCAGGTGGCCTAAGTACCGATTAGGTAGGCAGATGCTCAGACTGCATTTTAAAACAAATAATTTAATCCTCTCTTACCTTTCAATGTATAAGCATCTTAGATCTGGGAGAGGTCATACTATCTGATTTTTGCTGCTTTAGTAGTTTACTCTAGCTGACCACCATTTCCTTGCTTCTATTGGATTTGTCTCTTACAAACTTCTTTCTACCAATGGCTATTTTCTGTAATAGGTTCACTGAAATTTATAAGTTCATTATACATGTTTTATGAATCCATATTATCTCAATGTCCCAACAATTTCCACTTGCAATGCAAGCTGAATGACAGGAAAATATAAGCCAGTATAATTTTCTCCATATTTGGTTCTAACTTTGAAGAAATTCTGAGTTTGACCAAATTTGGAATCAGGGATGCAGGCATGCAGCACCTCATTCCTGTCTCCTGGTTGATTTCATCTAGATTCAAATATATATGATACTCATAGGACTAGTTAAGTGCTACTTATAAGCCATAGTTCTTTATTACACTTTTTTGGTTTGCTATCCAACGACTCCTCCAACCTTCCAAGTATGCACTGGAGAGAATGGTGGCTTACGGTACAATATTTGTTTAATCAACTCATTTTTTAGAACTGCAAATTGATGCTAGTAGAAACTTAAAGTGGCATATTGTCCATAACTAGTGGGTGAACATATTCATTTGAAATCATCTACTTTTCTTGAATATGTTTGAAACTCATTTTCAATTCAAAATCTGTTTATAATCATTCTCCAGGTTTCATCTGTCTGTTATGTTACCTTCATGATTGTGAAGATAAATTGTTAGCACTTTCAGTTTATAATTTTTATTTCAAATAACATGACATGAATACGGTCTCATAGAACTATACTAGGACATGACATGAAAAAATAATATTCTCAATTCTCAAAGTGTTACCTTACATAATGAATCAATTTATGTTATAAAGCATGTTAAATTCTACAATGCATAGCATGGACTAATTTTTTATTGTTTTTGTTCCTGTAAAAATCAATATCAACCAACAGATTTTATGTAGAGGAGCTGGATGTATGCCACATCAAGAAGCTGGTGTGACACACCAACCCCCTTTTAACCAACGAGGTCATCGGGTGGCATATGTCATATGGGTAGATTCTCTCATATAAAATGATGTAGCTCAATATCAACCAAGTATGGCTATGAGGGTTTCTGCCCCCTTTGTACACTTCATTGAGAGTGAGCTATGTTTGTATATGAGAGGATCCCCTCAAATGATACTGATACCAATTATTCGCTCTCTCAAGTGGATAAGAGCTTTTGTCCATCTAACTTCTTATCCATTGATTTTGCTCGAGATTCTTGATAGTGTGTATGATATAAATCAAGACAAACATGTCAAAGATAACATTTATATGTATAATGAATCTCAAAGCAAAATTAATGGATAAAAAATTATATGGACAAGATCTTATCTATTTAAGTGGATTTAGCTTATTTGTACGCACACATGTATATATGGGTTTGGTTGCAATACACATGATGTAATTAACTTAGTTACACACATCTGTTTCTACCGTTGAATTCTAACTGATTGATGAAGATCAAGGACTTCATATCATGAGGAGACAAAATCAACTTTCTTTCCTCTTTAAAATGTTTTATTTATTTGTATTCTCTTAATTCCATCTTAGTCTTCTTTCCCCATATTAGGTTTGTAAACTGTAAATGACTTTGTGATCCGTCTGCATTGCTTCAGCAAATTTGATAGGGAACAAAAATCATTTGTGTGAATTGCAAGGATATCTTTTTGGTTCTTAGTGTACATACATATTTATTGATAAGCAATTAGTTCTCATTAAATATGGGAGAGCACATTTGTATTAAGAACCAAAAAATTACTTACAATTCACTCTTTAAGTTTTTTGTTTTCGTTCCGTATCAATTTTGTTAAAACAATGCAGACAGCTCGTGAAGTTCCTTCCAATTCACAAATCTAATACAAAAGTTTAAAAACTAAAAAGATTAAAATGTAACTTGCAAACTCAATCAGCTAATGTTATAAACTGGCACTGTGGCCACATTCGGCCTCTATATTCTGCTAAATTGGGGATACTGGCAAGACTTGCCATATATTCCAGTGTCTCCTTTTCCAGCTTGCTCACATTCAAAGTGATGTGTTGTCGAATACACTCCCAACTCCCTTGAACTATGATCTGCCTTGTGCATGATTAGTTTGTGGTGTACTAAGGAGTAGGTTTTTAGATCGGGCAACCCAAGAAATAATTACTGATCAGATTCAACAAGGTCTTTGTGCTATATTCATCAATAATGTTTAGCTTTCTTTTACTTAATTTTGTTCTCAAGGTGTAATTATGGGAGTAAATTTGGAGTTTAAACTTCTGGTTTTTAATGTGCTTTGAAGTGTGTTTATTTTTACCTTCTATCTTTTGAAAAGATGAGATTTTCTGTCATTAAATTTTAGTTTACATGTCTTTAAAATTCAAATGCATATATATGTGCCTTTGCTGTCGACGTGCACACAAACTATATGTTTATAACTATTGAAATTTTTTTCTCCCAATTGTCCTATGGTAAGAATCCAATGAAGCCTTCTTCCTTCATGGTTTACCTAGTGGCGGATTCAAAAAAGTTTTCTTGGAGTGGCGGAAGGAAAGTATTTATTAGACTAAAAATAAGAATGAAAATATTATAAATTTATATGCAAATGGGCAGCTAATTTGTGTAGTGGTTAGATAAATAATTATTGGGTCATTTGGGAGCAAAATTTTTAAATATATGGGGGCGGATTTCTTGACTAAAGCTAAATTTATATCTTAGGGAGAGCCACGGTTGTAATGTTTTGGATAGGGCCTAACAAATAGGAAATTTTGAAAATGCCAGGGGCTGCAGTCCAACTGCAACCACAGCCCCACCCACACCCCCCCCGACTAAACAAAAAAAAACTAAACAACAAATCAAACCAAAAGACTCAAATCAACAAAAAAAAAGAAGAAGAAAAGAAGCCATAGATCCGCCACTTTTACCATTCAAATTAGTGTACTTGTGCCTGCGTTCAGAAACCAAAGTGTAGCAAGTCTGGTAAAACTAGTTGGCATGGAGAAGGGGCACCAAATATTATAGAAAGAACTATATAAAAAGAACTATATAAAAGTTGGTGAAAAGTGAAGAGCAAGTGGAGAATAGATGTTCTTCTGAGGTCATTCATGTACCAAGTGCATTACAGGCTCTTCAGCAATTTAAATGTGAAACATAACAGTTGCTGATGTGTCTGCTACTACTGAAAATCGGTAAAATATTGATCACAAGGAATGCCATGGGGTTCATGGCATGCAATGGATCATCTTGCATTGCAGATGTCTATTGTGAGAGCATTATTATTATTTAGAATAATGTTAACTTTCTTTAGAATGCAATAATGTGAAGTTCTTTCATATTTCATCTTGGTCGACATGGCACTTTAAAGCTTAATCGTCCCATCATTTGATGGCATAAAGTTGCATATATGTTGTTAGTGCACATTTTCAAAATCTAAATTTGGTAATTTGAACAGTACGATTTTTTTTACAATGTCAGAATAATTTGGTTAACGGGTTATCGATTGATCTTTCTAAAAGTTAAATAGAAACAATTACCAGCCAGATTTACTGGAAAGCATCATCTTTTACTCTCTTCTATGAAATATTATAAACTTGGATTATAAGCACTTCTATTCTTGTCACCCTAGACAAGACAAGGTTTGTTGATATCCATGACACTGAAGGACGCAACGCCAACGGTGCTGGTGTTGCGGGTTATGGTTATCTGTTTCATATTTTTTTGTTCTTGTTGGTATTGAATATTAAATTGCTAGTTCTTTTTCAACGAAGAACTAGTTTCATAACAATTTCATGGTTTCTCCTCTGGCTATTGTTTGGACTTTGGAAGCCTTCTCCACAACTAGAGGTTCTTAGTAAACTTGCTCTTATTTTCTATGAAAGCTAGCTTGAGTGAAAATGTGGCAGTTTTTATGCTTTCATCTTGACAAGCAAGCTATGAAATGTGTTTTCTTGGATGTGCATGGAACTTGTAGAAATAATGTATTTTGTTGCAGTCAACGCTGGCAGCCAAAAATGTAGAATATAGATACAAGGTCAGTGGCTATTATTGTTAAGAGTAACGGCTCTGTGAGTGCAGGTTTTGTCCTGAAAAGGGGCGCTCAACCTGCACAGAAAGGTAAGAGTGTAAAATTATATACCTCAACCATCACCACGACTCCAGAGTTTGGTGTAGTTGCAAGGTCTTTGAAAAAACAATATAATGGATTCAGCAACTTGGTATGGAGGGGGAAGGGCTCTGCTCAATGGTTGTTGAGCACGGATTGAGGATGTGGGCGTGGACATTAGATTCTTAACTGGAGCAAATATATGCAAGTAATTATGACAAGGGCATCTCAACCATGCTAATTCACATGATTTACTGAATCTTTTGACATTGCTCTTTGATAGTTCTGTTGGAATTTTCGGTTACTTTCATCACTATGAAGATTTTTCCATTAATTTAAATATTGACACTCATTTCTGCTTTTAGACCATCATTTCTTTCCTATCTTTTTTCCCTCTTCTAATTCTATGTATTTTTTTTGACAGATCATTAATTTGACAGTGCATTGTTTTTCTGTTACGACAGTTTATTAATTTGACTTCAGCGGTGCATACTTGTTTTGGACATTGTGTCAAATTATCTAATGCAAAAAGCTTTCGTCTACATTAAGCTTCTATATAATTGTTTGAGCTAACAACTATTTTTATGTGTATTAAATTCTTATTGCTATGAATATCATGATTCTTGTCTAAAACCTATGATTATGTAATGCCCTTGAATTCTATAATTGTTGTCAACTGTATTACTTCAGCCCGCATATGAAGACATTTTTGCGTAACGCCTGTTATTTATTTTCAAGCCGTTACTCTGACATCTTTATGAATCTTTGTTGTATCCAAACGGAAATGATAAGCTTACAGATTAATTTTGAGATACTAATCCTAAGTGATCCGATGAGATTATTTGTATTCCTGCCTCTGTTTCTCACTCGTCTGGATTTAATTTGTGTAAATCTAGATTATAGTTTTTATTTTAGAAAAAAGATAATTAATTTTGAATAACTAGTTTATAGCGCCAGGGTTGACAATTATATATTAACCTCTTCTGCTCCTTGTAGGAGATGACCTTGGAAGAGTATGAGAAAATAAAGGAGGAGAAGCGCAAAGCCCTGCTCGCTTTGAAGACGGAAGAAAGAAAAGTTGAGATAGACAATGAATTGAAGTCTATGCAGGTGCTCTCCTTGAAGAAGGAAAATGATCCCATCTTTATCAAGTTGGTAAGTTTTAGCCATCAAAATATATGCTACCTATCAATGGAAATTAGTTGCGTTGACATTTAAATTTTATAGGGTTCTGACAAGGAAAAGAAGAAAGAAAATGCTGATAGGGATGAGAAGGCCAAGAAGGTGTGTAATATTTCTATCTCGTGCAATAATAATGTAATATTTGCTTCTTTTTTATTGACACTCCCATTTCCCCTTTTCCTTGTTTGTAGTCTTTGAGCATCAACGAGTTTTTAAAGCCAGCTGAAGGCGAGAGATATTATGGTGGTGGCCGTGGCAGAGGCAGAGGAGCCCGTGGATCCTTCCGAGGTGGTTATGGTGGTGGTGGTGGTTCTGCTCTGGCATCTGCACCCTCAATTGAAGACCCTGGACAGTTTCCTACACTTGGAGGGAAATAGAGCATAAGCACTTGTGCCACCGTCATTAGTATTTACATGTTTCTTAGTTAATAATGAGATTCTCTGATTCTGGTCATTTAAATTTTGTTTTCTTTTTCCTATTTTCAAACTACTGTATATTGGAGTTTTTGCTGGGACAATGTTTAAGAGTCTGGTGAGTTCTCTGTTGGACATGATTCTGGGATGTATTGTCATCTTCTTTTTTGTCTCTGGGAAAGTTTTGTTGACATTATTTATGGTTATGGGTCTGCATATTTTGTTAACATACTTCACCTATTCCTTGCATCATGTTTATTTGAGCAAAGTAGTGATATGATTTTGCTCTGAATTTGTGTTGCCGAGTTGAGCAGTATCCGGGGCTTCTTATTCCTGTTTATATTTATTGAGAATTTTACCAATTGCCTTTCTACAACAGGTAAATGGCACTGGAGTTTCTTGTTCCGCTAATCATTTATCATTGAAAAGAACTGTTATAACTTATCTTTGGATTAGATAGCTGGACTTTTAGAGGTTATGATGATATTAATATTTGAAAAGAAACCATAATATTTTTGGATTCAGAAAAACTTGATAACTTATTATGCCCCACGGCCCACCCCCCTACACACAAGAAAAAAACCCAACCCCCAAAAAAACAATAGATAGTTGAATGGAACAAGGTAATAACCGTAAACAGTAGGGGTGCATACGGTTCGGATATGATGTTTGTCATATTTTCATGTCTGCTTACCAATTACGATATGGATGCAGATGTCTCAGTAAGGGAAACTCATCTCATCTCATATCTGGGCTAAAATCATATATATATATTATATATAATATATTATATATATATATATATATATAATATATAGAGGAGAACTTGTGTCAACTTAAGTGGATAGTGAATAGTGTGTCCACCAAACTTTATATCCACTCATTTAACATATAAAAAGTCACTTCATATCATGCAAGGATCCCTAGGAAACATCCAAGGGTTAAAAGTTTGGTGGATGTCCACTTAAGTGGACACAAGTTTTGCTATATATATATATAATATATATATATATGAACAAATTTTTAAAACAACCTTTTTATAAATATTAATTGGTAAAATCGACCGTTCAAGAAAATAATTGGCAAATCGACCCTTTGGGTCGATTTTGCTGCGAAGAAACTTTGTTGAAGTGCACGGGACTACTAGTCCGCGTGCATCTCTCTCCTATCTCCCTACCCCCATCCCACCTGGCCATCTCTCTCTCTCCTCACTCATCTCCCCCTCTTTCCCTACCAATCCCTCCCACAGCATACCCCTCCCACTTCCCCTCCCACCTCTAACCCAAATCGACGCCGCTCTGCTGGCGTGGTGATAACGACGATGGTGATGGAGCTGCGGGTGCACGCTGAGCGTGGCTTGGTGACGCGCGGTCGAGGGGCTCGGCTGGAGGGCAGAGCTCGAGATGCTCAGGTTGAGCTCAAGCTCGAGGGAGGAGCGGAGGCTTGAGGCGAGAGGGGCGGACGGCGGTGAGAGAGTTGGGTTCGACGGTGGCTGGGCTTCGTCGTTTGCGAGGGGAGAGTGCGGTCGGAGCTTTGGCACGACGTCGGTGCAGAGTTTGGCCGGCGATGCAGGAGATAACGAAGGTGTAGGCGGTCGGCGTCGGGCTCGGGTTGGTGGCATAGATCTGGGGCGGAGCTACGGGTGAAGGAGGTGGTGCTTGGTGAAGGTGGTCTGGCGGGTTGGTGAGAGAGGGAGATGCATTTCTTGAGTTGAGGGAAAGTGGAGGACGGCTGCGTCGATTTGGAGTTGGAGGTGGGAGGGGAAGTGGGAGGGGTCTGCTGGGGAGGGATGGGGGTAGGGAAGAGGGGGAGGTGAGTGACGAGAGAGAGAGATGGCCAGGTGGGATGGGGGTAGGAGAGAGGAGAGAGATGCACGGGACTAGTAGTCCCGTGCACTTCAACAAAGTTTCTTCACAGCAAAATCGACCCAAAAGGGTCGATTTTGCCAATTATTTTCTTGAACGGTCGATTTTGCCAATTAATATTATAAAAAGGTTGTTTTTAAAATTTTGTCTATATATATATGTGTGTGTGTGTGTGTGTGTGTGTGTGTGTGTTTTATTGTGTTCCCATTTTCGCCAAAGTACAACTCAATACTAAGTAGATGACAAGTGTATTTCTACACGCTATGCCCCAATCAACTTGGCGGCCAGAGACAATCGGGACCGACAACCAAACCGACCTGACGAGACGACACCCCTCACTGTCGGCATGAAAAACGGAGTATGTCTACACGAAAGGCGGTGTCTGTCACCCCCTTCTATTGAAGACAACTCGTCACGAGTCCACTCAACCACTTTCCAGACAATTGCAAAAGTTGACTTGAAAGACGTTACTTCACGGAGAAGCTAAAGAATTGTGTTTGTCTCGAGTCTCTCCCTCTATGACGACGTATCAACATCACATTTAATGTTTGGCAAGTGTCATCATGATTTTAGCCCAGATAGTCTCCATGACTCATCGGACCATGTGGGTCCCGACCATGCCGCCAGTATCCTCTCATTTAATGCCAAAACGATCTTCCCTCCACTTGTTGGCCGACACCTGTAAAGCAAGTGCTGACGTGACCGCCAGCCTATACTTCGCCACCGCCTCACTGCTCTCGGCCAAAGTGATCAATCTACTCTTATACCCTAAATATATATACAGATACTATTCTACCTTACAAGAGATAGAATCTTGATTTCAAAATCTGATCCTTAAGCAATCGCACGCACGATAATTACAACAATTCTTTAGAACTCCACTCAAGTTCATCAGCTAACTTGATCGTTGGAGGTACAACGGGGGAACCAAACCCCACCCTCTTACGAATTTCTACTTGTATAGATTTTACAGATACCTCACTCAAGAACCAGACATAAAGTTAGAGAAGAAAGCGACTCTTTCTTCAATACTGAACAAAAATCACCAATCCTAGACATAATTGATTGTGTGAATATTTAACATCAACAATATATGTGTGTGTGTTGATACAAGACAAATATGAGAAAATTGTATAATATAGAGAAAAAATATATATTTCTACGATACAAAAGATTTCATATAATTTGTTCATTATATCTAAAAAACCAAGATTAGATCTCTAGATCATATTAATCTAAATATTAAAACGATCGCAGTTGTATGATCAACATATATTCAGATATTTCGAATACGGATTTAGATATTTTACTGTATAACTACATCCATAACCATATTCTGTCGGTTGTAGATTTTAGTATACGGTTGTGCACCATATTTGAGATCGAGGTTTTAAGGTCCATGAAATGCATGGAGCTAATGACCACTATTTTCATGATGTCTTGTCCACTGAAGATGCCCCAGTCCAAACAACATTTATACACAGTGACAGCTCTCACAACAACAGCAACACTTGGATCGTCACATGTCATCTATTCATTTCATTTTCTGTGCCCTTAAAAGTTTGTCATCATATATTCCTCACAAGTCATAAGGGGGCAACGAAAAATAAAAACGTCATCATCAGATGCTGTTGGAGTCAATCATGACCCTCAGAAAACTGCAGCAGGCAACAGTGGCTTCGCTCTTTCAGACCCCTCTAGCTCCTTAGCTTTTTGGGTGTGTTATTGACAAGAACCCATCCAAAATCTTGAATGATTTAGTACTGGCTTGGATGCTTCTATAATGTCCAGTCCAATCTAAGTCCAGTCATTTAACACTGAACCGTCACCTCACCACTAGCTATCATTAGTAAGATTGTCTTTTGTTGCATGGGTACCAGTATCTTGCCTCCTTTGGTGAAAAATCCAGGGGAATGACCCAGTGACCAAAATTAACCAACAAGGAAATCTGTAGGCTCCAGGGATAGGGTTGGTTCCTTCGAGGAAAGGATGGGCATAGGCTCATGAAGCTTATTAAATGAATGTGCGACATTGGAAGCCTCCGCTGTTGATAACAGTGCTCGCATAGTTAAATCAGTGTCCCCTCGGTGCTTTGGTCTTTTCAAGCTTGGTAGGAAAAAAGGATATGCCTTTTGTTTGCAAGTTGGAGATAGAGAAAAGATTAGCTCGCAGAATTTGTCTCCAATTGTTCACTAGATCCTGGCCCTGAGGCGTAATTACTTAAAACATGACTCAAATGGCATATATCAATCTCGGTTCTTTAAACCCAAAACTTACCGAGAAACACTCATCAGCAGATCCTACCGTAGCCTTAATCTACAGAGGGACTTCAAATGGAACTTTAAACGTTGAAAATTTCTTTAAGATGAAGTGGCGTTCAATTACAAGAATTTGATGACAAGTAGATCATGACCCTCAATTCTTCTAAAAAGAGCAGCTGTAGTTAACCCGCTCCTCTCCGAAACATACCAGCACTCCAACTATACAATATGCTCTTGACGAAATGAAACCATAGCTAAACAAACTACCCAAAAAGATCTTAGACAAGAAAATACAAAAGAATGCAAAAGCATATCAAACATGCATCAATCACCTCCGAAAAGACCCTGTTTTGGTTTCTCTCCCCCTCTCCCAAGCTGCTCTTAAAGCTTCATATGAGTTCTTACTATCAAAACTCTCTGAAATCTCATGAAGGACTGGAACATTATAATGCCCACTCCTGTTACCAGGATCATAACCAGGAGTTGATATGTAACCAGACTCCATCAGCATGTCACCCTCCAATATTCGAAGAACCTTTATACGAAAAGATTGTTTTGATCAAGCATCAGAAAGTGGTGAAATTTTGTGAAAATAACTATAGTTCGAAACCAAACTCACCTGAGACATTCTGGGCCTTAAATGGGGATCTCGTCTAATGCACAAAGATGCAGCATGCAACATGCAGCAAACCTCCTGTTCAGAGAAACAATTTCCTAATCGAGGGTCTAAAAGCTCATCAATCGCGTGTTCTTCAAGTAGAGGGCGAGCCTGCTCAAATTAAGAAAAATGTCAAACCACAATAGTCTTTGATTCAATCTAATTAGAAGAGTTTTATGCCAAAGCCTATGGCTTACCCATTCAGTTAGACATTGTTGACCCTTTGGTCGGTTAATGTCTACAGCCTTGCGTCCAGTGACAAGCTCTACTAGCACTACCCCAAAGGAATAAACATCCGCTTTCTCCGTGATTTGACCACTCTGAGCATATTCAGGAGCCAGATACCTGAAAAATAATTAGGTTTTACTTCCACACAAAATTTAATTAGGAAAAACATCAATGGGTATTATTTCTCTCTGGTAATACCCAAAGGTGCCGATAACTCTTGTTTCCACACCCTGGTCTCCATCAGGCTGCCATCGTGCCAATCCAAAATCACCAACCTATGAGAAGCAGCATTTGTCATTAGATCCTACATCAACCATCATGTACAAAATCTATAGGTAAGTAATTGACATAATTGTCTGATCCTGGGATTTCTCATGCAAAGTTTACACATGTTACCATGTTTGCCTAACCCTTAACTTGCATGCACAACATGATTACATTGGTTGCTTTGGACTTCAAGAAAGTAAAGCCACAAGTTGGTATAAATATCCAACATTGGAGTATGGAGGGAAGTGGTATATCTAACACAAAAACTGAAGACAAGTTCGTTACCCTTGTATTACATCCGATCTTATATTATACCTGCAAAATTCACCTTGCAACTACTTGATAATGAAACTAAATACAAGCGGCAAGGTTGTGACAATGAGTGGTTGTGAGTGATGGAAAAATATCGACATGGTGCTTGTCGATGAGTTTATGATACAGATAACTGTCCCTGGCTTCTTTTTCATACTTCTGGACTCAACTAAAATATTTGACGCCACTCAATGTGACCAATAGTGATAACTCCATGGAAACATACAAAAGTACCTTAAAAGTACCTTGTGACCAAAGAAAAGAATGCAAAAATACACGAACCACGTCACTTGCAGCCAGAAAAAAAAAAGAATTTGATGACTGGGTGAGAAATTGGTTCTAGAAACTACTGCAGGGAACCGAAGATGGATAATTTAAGAAATAACAAGGATTGAGAAGTATCCACTTATAGTGAGTAGGATAAAATATATGTAATTAGTCTAATGTTTCAAATTTGTCCTCAATGAATTAGCTACAGAATTTTTCAGGATGGCCCAATTATTTATCTATGGTAATGGTAAGGCTTCTATTGATTTGAACATGTCCCGAATAAACTCATCACAAAACACTCAATAATCAATTACATTGAAATGTACAGAATATGTATCACAAGGAGTTCTAAAAAAGCATACCAAGGGTTCAAAGTCGTGAGTAATGAGAATGTTGTTGGGTCTCATATCACGATGTACTATGCAACCCACTCTGCACTCTTCATGAAGGTATCTGAGCCCTCGAGCAGCTCCAACGGCAATCTTCTGTCTGGCAGACCATTCTAACGGTTCCCTATTACGACCTACAAGCATCCAACACAACAAACAAGAAAAAGCAAGCAATATTCAGCCATAACATTCTTAAAGAAGGATATATACTGTTCTGATGAAATGATGCAACTTGTACTATAAGTGAATGGGAGATTGTGTTCGAGGGTCTAACATGCCCATAAATAGGCTACAGATGCTACTGGGCATGCCATATGCAGGAAAGTCCGTAGTTCAAAAGTATCCAAAAACTTTAAAAACAAGCCAAGCATACAGCCTGAGCAGAAGGAACAAAAGGGCTAAGTGTTCATCATGAGCAGAATCTAAAATTACAAGAGATGTATCATCCCCAAAAAACTTAGTAAATGACTAATATCAGTTCGTATACGCTGAGATGAGAATTTCATGTCCTCTTACAACAGCTTGTTAACTGGGTCAAATATAGATCTGTGGATAAATAACATTTAGAAAAGGAGAGGTTATGACAAACGGCTGTAAGGAGCACCTTCCTGTTGAGAATTGGGAGGACTACACAGACTTAGTTGAACTTGAAGATCGATGCATTAAATGATTTGATAGAATTAAATTCATCCATACTATGTTGCACCTATCTAACCATTGTTCAGGAATCAACTGTGAAAAGATTACCATAAAGATGAGTATCTAATGACCCATTGCAGATATATTCATAGACCAGCAACCTTCTCCTATCTTCGACACAAAACCCAATCAGCATCACAACATTCCGATGCTGAGCACAACTTAAAACCTCAACCTCTGAGCAGAACTCATGGTCACCCTGGGAGCTAGCTAATTTATGTTGTTTGACAGCAATTGCTTGGCCGTCAGGCAGAACTCCTCTGTGAACAGAACCAAATCCACCTTCTGCCAAGAAATTTGCTTTAGAAAATCCCCCTGTAGCAAGTTCTAGCTCAGAGTAACTAAACCATTTAGGTGGTTTCCCAAATATCGGAGCTTTATGCTGACATATTGAACATAGAGGAGGCGGCCCAGGAGGTGCATTTCTAGATAATGATACTGTATCTCTAACATTGCCACTGAACTCCAAATCTGATCTATAATTTCTACTGCAGATTCCAGCTTCCCTATCAAGTTTGGAAAATTTATCCTTCAATGCTTTTGCTGAGGATATACGGGCACTATCATTGAGTCTATTAGACAATGACTCCTCCATTCTTTTTGAAGAAGTACGACCAGCAGAGAGAATCTCAGCAACCCATGGCTGATATTCCATTGTAGTTGAAGGACTTAAACTATCAGTATCAGAATCAGAGCTGTCTGCATCAGAATTCCTTTTCTCTTTGATGGTTATATTCTCTTCTTTCTTAATTTTCCCATTTGTTTCAGGAACAAAAAATGGTGAAGTACCAGGATCTGAACTTGAGACTGATGATGTCCCGGCTTCAGTGGTAGTAAATGGTGTCTCTACTTCAGGGCTGCTAGTTGGTGTCACAGCAGGACCACGGATTGAATTTCGATGAGGATCATTGACATCATCTTTCATTTTACCCAAAGATCTCTCGAACTCAGAAGGCAATGGACAATTCACTCCAGTCTCTGCTTCAGGTGATCCTACCAAATTCAACCGAAGAACTTTCGGTTCAGAGCGCTTCATAACGACGATATTACATTGCAACTCTTCCATGCATCGTTTTTCTTCAATTTTCAGTTGTCTGAAACAATAAATTTGCCAATGGAAAAGGAAAGTATTAGTTTACAAATACTTCAAAATTGTGCAAATATAACATTTAATCGAGAACTAAACAATTCCATAACTTTGCAAATCAAATTTCTTGAGTTGCAAAACCAATTAGAAATATACAGGTCACTAGTTAAACATTACTTGTCCAAAACAACCCAATTAGCATGAGCTCTTTTAGATTCAGCAGCAACAGCACCACAAGGTGACCCAGAAACAATCTTCACCTTGATGTTTATCTGCAAAAAATCAACAAACTGTTACTCATTTATCTGCAATAAATCAACAAACTGATACTCACAACAAATTCCCAATGAACAAGTAACAACACTCTTCATCCCGGCAAAATTTACCTTGTTAGGATCATAGACATTGTGAAGTTGAAGCATCATCTGAGAACACAGATCAGTGATATCAGATTTCTGGTCCATAGTAGTTCCAAGATTAGATCTCCGGTGACCGCTGGCACAGTCCCCAGCAAATCTTGGAAAGCTCCATAGTTTCCTACCTGAAAGAATCAACCAAACTTTCAAATATTACTTCAACTATATGATTCCCAAAAAAATGGGTCATCTGGGTCTGAAACCAAAAGTATTTCTTTGATTGAAAGAGATCAAAATGAAGAGCTTAGAGAGAGAGAGAGAGAGAGAGAGAGAGAGAGAGAGAGAGAAATTATACCAGAGCTCTGAGATGGGATCACAACCAAAAGCGTAATACAATCCCCAGGCTGAACAACATGAGTCAGTGCCCAAACAAGAGCAGTCCTTGAAATCTCTTTAGAAGCAGCTTTTACGGCAACAACAACTTTCTCTGCAGATTCAAATCCTTTACCACTCTTCCCCCTCTTCAAACTAGTACCCATCCTTCTCTTTCTCCTTCAACCCAAATCCTTCAAATTTCATAGAAAACCCATCCAATTCCCAATACAGAACTCGAAAAGTTCCCTCCTTTATTATGCCCAACCAGTAATCTCTCAACCCTGTTCGCCAAATTGAAAAATAATTTCACTTTTGTCGCTTAACAGGAACAGAATCAAAAGAGAGGGCACTGTTCTCGTGAATGTACCCTTAATATTTTTTATTTTGCAGAAAACGACAGAGAAAAGGCGGGATCGGTCACCTTAAACAGTAACAAACTCGATAAAACCCTAGAAAATGATGCGATCCCCTCCGGTTATCGAACCTTCTCAGCGCATTAGCAAACAAAATTGCAGCAAATTTTCACTAATCTTTTTTAATTAAAAACGAGACCTTTATTTTGGACGAACCCTAACCCTAGAAAATAGAGAGGAGAAATTTGTGCCCAAAATCTCTTGTACTCTGCAACACGAGAACTCAAGCTTCAGATCTTTCACAGCGGGTAGCCGTCGAAGTCCGAGATCCTAAGTTGACGAAAATGCCCTTGAGTATTTTGAATCTTTACTAGAATGCCATTGATGAACAGTTGGCAGTGTGGTGCAGTACTTGTGGTATTAATAATGCCAACCGCCCAGAGCGAGGCCGGTTGCTGATGTGCGGGAGGAACGAGATAAGGTAACGTAATCTAGTGATTTTGATACTTGGTTTGATTAATGATAAATTATCTCGTTAGTGATCTAAGCTTGAGTTTAGTGCTGATGGGATTAAGATGTGGATTTGGAGGAAAGACTTCGGTTGATGGGGACTTAGCATGGGGTGGGCTTAATGGTTAATAATTTTATAGATATTGATGAGGTACTTGCTTCCTTATTTAGGCATAATGTAGATCGACTATGTTTTTTAAATAGCTATGTCAACGTCTTAATGGTTCGCATACGCTTCTTTTCCCAGTTAGTTTCTTATATTGTTATTGTTGTTTTTTTTTCCCTCTCTCTCGGCAAGTTCCTCCAATAAATAAAATTAGTCGACATCATATATAAAATATGCACATACTCAATAATTTTGGTTGGACCTGTTCATAGTCAAATGAGCGAAAATGAGAGAGAAATGTGATACGTTTAGCTTATTAAAAAATTTAAAAAAAAAAGGAGAGACAGAGAGAGGACGAAAACCCAATTGAAGTAGATGCCTCTAGCACAGATATACGTTGTCATTGCGATATCTATTGTGTGATTAAGTAGAATTTGAATTATCTAAGTCTATGTAGTAAAGTTACAATTAAAAACATGACTAAGGGGTTGTTTGTATGAGAAAACAGGAATTGAATACTCTTCAATTATATGGCAATAGGAGAGTGTCCAATTCCTTCAGTCCTTGCCATCAATCTTAAATTTAAAGGATAATATATCGTCATGTAAGACCACCAAGCTAGCGGTTTTCTAAATATCACTCTAAATTTATTTATGATAGAATTAAATATTTCTAAAGATTAATTAAAAAAAGAAAAAGTGAACAATCTAATTTAATTCTCCAATATTTTAGATTTAATTCCAAACTTATAATTAAATTTTATGTTGAGAAAAAAAATTAATAAAAATAACATATTGCAATCGATCAATTAAAGTAACATAACGTGTTTATCATTCTGCTCAATCATAGCACAAATCATGGCCCCGTTTGGTAAAGGGTTAAGGAGAAGGATTAACACGGTTAACCTACTTGATAATCTGAAAGACTAAATTATTAAGTCATTACAAAAGGTTTATTTTAGCCATTATGATCTTTTTTGGTGTTTGTAAATAATAAGAATTTTGATTATTTTCTTTATAATTAGAAGGGTTAATTCTTAATCTTTCTAAATATGAGTATTAGTAAACCCATTATTTTGATGGGTTAACTGATTTTAATCCCTCTAGAGAGGTTAGCTTAACCCTTCTATATTGTTTATATTTGAAAAATTATGGAAGGTTAACTCACTTAACCCTTGTATAGATTTTTTGTGTTTGGCAGGTTAAGAAAGTGTTAAGTCTTCTTAACCCATCGCTTAACCATTTGCCAAACGATACCAATAAAATGATTAGAATATAACTATTTTGAATTTTAAATTAGATTTTGGAAATATTTAATAATATTATAAATTAAATTAAATTCACTAAATCTACCATGGTATTTGAAAAGTCAATAGTTTGAAAATAGAAAATAATTTGACAATAGAAAATTTTATGTGGCCTTATTTTACTCTTTAAAATTTGTGATTATTGAAAGATTTGAGTACTCTCCAATTATTGCCTAACTGGATGCGATCTGAACCCGATAAAATAAGGGTTTTAAAATTCTTTTAAATCATAGTTTTTAAAAATTCAAAACATTACTCTTTTGTTTTTTTTGTTTTTTTTGATTAGATGGAAAGTGGGTGAAGTGTGAAACGTGTGATTCATTTTTCCTCAGTAAAAAAGAATTTATGACGCGGAAATTTACTGACGTTTCCATAAGTATCTTAAGAACAACAAAGACAAACTCGTATCCCTAAAAGAATCGCATAAGGTTAGCAAACATTGGAGGGTAACCATTGATCAAACATGTGAATCAAATTTGTACGTATCTTGATCAGAAGAACCAGAAACGTACACCTGGCTGTTAATACACAAACAACCATGATTCAGTCCCCAGAGAGGGTTCACATGTAGTTCCTCTTTTTACTAAATTTGATCGATCCCTAAAAATTTCCCAAAACCCCCATACTTGTGGAGTGTCTCCCATACTGCCCTTATTATACATTGTTTTCCCCAATTAACCCCCATAAAGTTTTGTCTCACAAAATTCTCACTTAATACACAGAATTTTAAAGTATCTCAGATAACCCTAAAAAGGTCTTTGTGGGGAGAGTAAAAAGTGTAGGGGAAATACCTTGAACACGAGTTTTGGGGTGAAAGTAGGGAAACACAAAGGGTAAATATCAGAAAACCCCGCTTTAATTTTGAATGAATATAAAAAACCCCTTTTAAGTATAGGAATTATCACACACCTCCTTTTAACTTTCAGATTTTAACATAAACCCCCATTTAACTTTGAATTTTTTTCAGCTAACTCTCCTAATTTAGGGGGATTTTTTTGATAAAATCTCAATGTTAAATGGAGTTTTCTGATAAATCCTAAATTTAAGATGGTTTTCTGATATTTTGAAAGTTAAGCGGGGTTTTATGATGACCATAAAAAGTTAATGGGGGGTTTTATGATATTAGCCAAACATAAGAGCACATGGGAATTATCTGAGGCACTTTGCAATATTTGGGGGCTAGGTGGAAAAAGTTTTGGAGGATTAGTGGGAAAAATAAAGTATTGAGGGGAATTTCCGCAAATAATTGAAAGTTTTTGGGGTTTTGTGAAATTTATTCATGATTTCTTTCTGTGCCTATTCGACGATAATAACGATCGCCCGTTCTCGTCTCACCACAGGCACGGGCCCCATGTCACAACATTTCCCGCGCTCAAGTTAAAGACGCCCGTGGCATCTCCGTAAATAAGTAGGATCACCGAGGACCTTAATGTAGTTTCCATTGGCGCAGGTCATTTGAACGCGTGGGGAGGGAGTAGCGGCGATATCGGGGCGATTACACATGGTGGCCCCCATGTTAGGTTCCAGCGGGGCCCACTTGCCGTTGCTGTCCCCGTCACCTCTTGCTGACGGTCTCCGTGCAACATAACGGCGAGAGGGCGTTTGACGGCTGACGTTGTCAGTTTTGGCGGCACTCGCGGATCGTGTCCGCATTACTGAATTCGAGATAGTCTTTTATTTGTTTTATTCGATAAAATAATTTATTAACGTGGTGACAAATGCCATAGGGGTTTAACTTATAAACTACTCTTGTAGCTTGCTAATTACTTTTGATTAAGGGTGACTAACTGTTATTCTCTGAGTTTGAAGAGTTCATTCAAAAGTGTATTTTGTTTTCTTCTTATATTTTAAAATCATACCAATTTTTTTATAGTCCGTGGGATCCTTGGAGTCAGTCTATCAGTATGAAAATGAGTAAATTTGTACTTGTGAATAAATATATTATTGGCTAAATTGGAGATAAATGTCATCTAATTTTACTAAGCAAATAAATGCTCTCAAAGTATTTAAATATTACCCATACATATTTTAAATTTAAAAAGAATTTCGTTTCTCTGTATATCCAAGAACACCACACATCACATGATACTAAAAGTGTATCATTTAAAAATTTTAGGGTATATAAGCGAGACGGTTCATAAACCGAATGTATTTATATGCAACATTGAGTAAACAAGAAGGCGCGAAAAGTGCAATATTTAAATATTTTAGGATATTTATCTGTAGTATTTAAATACATTAGGATATTTTATTTGCTCAGTTTTAAAATAAAGGCCACTTAATGTAAGATTGACGAAACTATAGGGCATTTAAGTGCACTTTTAGGGGTGGAAATGAACCAAATAATTAATAAATGGTTCGATAATTGTTTGAATAACTATTCGGTCATATTCGATTCGATAGTTCATTTATCACTAAACAAATATTTTTTAGTATTCGAGTTTATTAACGAATAGAATTTAACCAGATGTATATTCGATTCGTTTGTCTATTAAATATTCGTTTAAAATTTGATCACAGTTTATTATTTGTATTATTGCACATATGATGTCATATTTTTAACCCACTTACCATTTCTACTTAAGTTTTATATATAGATTTTAAGACTTAAATAATCTTAAATCTGTTTTCTAATTAAAATTTTGATTTAAATATATATACATCATATATTATAAAGAAATAATTTTAATTTATAAATTTTAATACTATTTGAAAATTAAACTCTTTAGCGAAATAAATATACTTTGATATTTGATAAGTATTCGTGAATATTCATGAATATTTATCAAATACCAAGTATTCGAGTTCAAATTCAAAAAACTAGATATATGAATAATAGAGTCCGCATTCGAATTCAATAATTTTAAACAAATACAAATATGAACAACTTAGTATTCGATTCGATTCGATCATTTACCACCCCTGTCTTTAGCCTAAAACATTAATCTGAGAAAGAATGCAAGAGAACCAAAAATCATGCTAAGTTAACTGATTAATTAATTAAGTAGATGATTGAATCAATAAGAATCACTTACGGGGCACGTTTCAAAGAGTTAATTTTGGGGTTGCGAGGCTATTGTTTTGTTTTTTTGTGCTACGCTAGGATCAAATTATAATTTGATCTGATCAGAGATGATATCAATATGAAACAAGAAGAGGAAGGCTACGGTTGCTTACCGACAAGTTAGTACTGTTTTTTGCTGTAGAAAAGGACTTGAGATATTTGATTAATAGATTTTAGCCATAAATTTCCTGTGAGGAAAGTATCAAGTTGTACTATGGGGGTTTTTTAAAATAAAATTGAAGATTTTGATCAGATGCGACTACGTGTATTTAATTTCAGCAAATGGTGTTGGACCATTTCTACGAGAGGAATGAAAATGTAGAAAGAATGGCGGACAATATACGAAATATTTTTGGAGTCCTAATAAGATTCGGTGTGGTATA